TTTGACAGAAAGAGTTCAGTTATTGTATGCTTTGATAGGTATGTATGCAGTGAAGTCATCATGAGCGGGAGGTGATCTCATCTTAACCCTAACACCATTCTTATACTGCAGTTCTCGTACAACCCGTATCCCAGTCAACTGCAACCATCATGGGCTAACTACAGTACTATACATACCGTACTGGTATAATCTATGTTCAAGTTCTTATCAAAAAGGAAGAAGAAGATCATGTCCCTCCAAAATCTCCTCTCCACCGCCGCCCGTCCCCTCCCCCCCATCCACGACCCCAACTTCGCCTCCCACTTCGACAGCTTCGCCAACTACCGCGTCGTCCTCCTCGGCGACGGCAGCCACGGCACCTCTGAATTCTACGCCGCCCGCGCCGAGATCACCAAGCGCCTAATCGAGCACCACGGCTTCACTACCGTCGCCGTCGAAGCCGACTGGCCCGATGCCGAAGCCATCGACCGCTACGTGCGCCAACGCCCCGGGCCCCAAGCCCACCTCACCAATGACAAGCACGAGCCTTTCCAGCGCTTTCCAACCTGGATGTGGCGCAATCGCGAAATGCAAGACCTAGTCGAGTGGATGCGTGACCACAATGCCAACCTACCCGATCATCAAAAGGCTGGATTCTACGGTCTTGATCTGTACAGCATGGGCGCTTCCATCCGCGCCGTCGTAGATTACCTCGACCGCGTGGACCCAGAGGCAGGAAAGCTGGCGCGTCGTCGCTACGGTTGTTTACAACCGTGGGTGGATGATCCGACGGCATACGGGCTCGCGTCGCTGCGCGGGTTGGCAGACTGCGAAAAAGGCGTTGTGGACATGCTGCGCGATCTGCTGCGAAAGCGACTGCAGTATGCGGAGGAGGATCCGCATGACGGCGAAGAGTCGCATAGCAGTCAGCAGAATGCATATTTGGTGCGTGACGCGGAGAGATACTACAAGGCTATGTATTATAGCTCTGCGTCATCGTGGACCCTGCGTGATACGCACATGGTGGATACGCTGCGACGCATTCTTCGTCATAAGCCGCCAGGCAGTAAGGCCGTGGTGTGGGCGCATAATTCGCATTGCGGCGATGCGCGATACACGGGCATGGGTATCCGGCGCAATGAGGTGAATATCGGGCAGTTGTGTCGGGAGCAGTTCGGTCGGGATAAGGTTGCTCTGATCGGCTGTGGGACACATACCGGGACTGTGGCGGCTGCGCATGAGTGGGATGAGGATATGGAGATCATGAAGGTGAAGCCGTCGAGACCGGATAGTTGGGAGTGGTTGGCGCATCAGACGGGCATTGAGAGCTTCTTGTTGGATTTGAGGCCTACGAAAATGAGTCCGGAGATGAGGGACTTGATGGCGGCGGAGGATCAGCGCTTGGAACGCTTCATCGGCGTCATTTATCGGCCTGATACTGAGCGCATGTCACATTACTCGCAGGCTGATCTGCAGAACCAGTTCGATGCGTATGTCTGGTTTGATAGCACCGAGGCTGTTAAGCCGTTGGAGACGGTGCAGCCGCGGACGGCGATGGGGACGGAAGAAACGTACCCATTTGGGTTGTAGAGTAGATTGTAATGTATTGGTAGAATGTGTAATGAGCAAAAGTAAATAGTGTTTTAAAATAATGATGATGGACGTCGATAACTATAGTTAATGAAGGGATAATGCATAGCACAACGCGCTTAGCTAAGCCCTGACGTCAGCTCACCGCCTGCGGGTGTTTGTTTATTCTTGAATCTCGCCTTCGCCCTGCATTCATTTAATTCATAATCCATCCCCCCACACAATTCCAATTCTTCGACATCTCGATACCCAATTCCAACGTCACCCGATATACATTGACCACCACCATGGCGGTTCGACGGTCCGCCCGCCTGCGCAGCCGCCAGGCCACCGAGGTGAGCACACCACACCATCCCACTCAGCCTCCATTCCGATGGGCTGCTCGCGCCCTTGCATGACATTCACTGACTCGACCTTAAGGAGCCTGAGGCCCCTGCCGACCCCGTCGTCACTGACAACAACGCCCCCTGCGACACGAACAATCACAACAACTCCGAGAACACGTCCGAAATCGATACAACCATGGCTCGTCTCGGCAAACAGCCGGAGAGATTGCCTCCCGTCGTGGAGCACGAGGAGCCAGCTGATGCTGCTAAGGATGTCCCCGTGCAGCGGTCGCGGAAGAAGACCAAGACCGAGACCGCGTCTAAGAGAAGGTCCAAGGTTGAAGCTAAAGAGCCTGTTGCTGAGGTGACTCCGGTGATCGCTGAGTCTCAGTCCAACACGGATACGACTGAACCTGCCGTTGCTGAGACAGAAAAGAAGCCTACTCCCAAGGCTGTGCCTGAACCTGCTGTTGCTGAGACCGAAAAGAACCCTACCCCCAAGGCTCTACCTGAAACTGCCTCCAAGCTATCGACTCCTAAGAAATCTATCCCAACTCTCAAGGGCACACCTGTCCACAGAAACACGCCCGTCCACAGAAGCACTCCCGTCCACAAAAGCACACCCACCAGAACCCCCTCCAGCACCCTCGTGCGCCCGTCCCACCAAGAAATGCACCCCAGCAAGGTCCGCCAGAGCACCACCAAGCAGGCAGACTCCGGTTTGATCCTGGGCTTCAAGCCCATCAAGAAGGACGCCGAAGGCAAGGTGATTAAGGACACTCTCGCCGACAACACTCCTACCAAAGCCAAGGCCTCACCCGCTCCCTATTACGGCACCCCCGCGTTCGAATTTAAGTTTTCCTGCGAATCGCAGCTCAGTGACGAGGCCAAGAAGCTCATGGAGACCGTGCGCGAGGATGCTGCTAAGATCAAAGCCCAGATGACCCTGGAGCCCGACCAGAATCGCGCTGAGGCAGCGGACCGGAAGATCGTACAGCCCAAGGGCAAGGCCAGTCGTTTCAGCGACGTGCACATGGCCGAATTCAAGAAGATGGACTCCATTGCTGGTCATGCGTCGGCTTTCCGTGCCACCCCAGGACGCTTCCAGCCAGTGGTCAAGACGCTCAAGAGAACCAACTCCAAGGCGCGTTTGGACGAATCGGACCGCAACTCGCCATCGCCATCCAAGATTGCACGTCCTTCACCTGCCATTGTTGCCCCTGCTAGCAACAAACGCGTCAAGCATGACAAGGCCGATGATGCATCGACGCGTCGTCCCACTGCAGCCAGTCCTCCTAAGCCTGTGCAACCCCGGCCCAGATCTACAGTGCGCAGCTCGTTGATGACCCCGACGCGGTCCTCTGCGGCGCGTGCTTCTTCCGTTACCGCAAGACCGCCCCGCACCTCGATGATCCCATCGCTCGTCCGGTCTCCTGCTGCGAAGCCGGCCGATGTGCCGCGCACGCCTCAGACAGAGTTCAACCCTCGGCTGAAGAGCAACTTGCCCACTTTGGGTAACCTGAAGTCGATCCTCCGCCGCCACCAGCCTTTGTTCTCCAAGGATCCTTCTAAGATTGCCGCGGGCACCCATGTGGCTGCTCCCGACTTTACCTCGAACCTGCTGTTCGGATCGCGAGGCACCACGGAGGAGCCTGCACAGACGCCGTCCCCCAAGAAGCGCGTGGAGTTCACTCCTAGTGTCAAGGCCCGCCACGAGGAGGTTATGTTCTCGCCGTCTCCATCGAAGGTTCCGGTTGCCAGTCCCTCGCGGACCACTTCCGACGTTGTCTATCCCACCCTGCCGGTGTTGACTCCGGAGCAGAACAGGGTCAGCGCCAAGTCTCCTGCCCAAGCGACAACCCCGACCATCCGCCATGTCCGCCCGTCAGATGTCCATGCCAATCCCCTGCCTGAGGTTGCAGGCGTGCCGCACGGAATCGGCCACAAGAAGAGGACCCGTGAGAGTGGTGAAGACACCAAGACTAATGATCTCCCTGAGGTCGCGGGTGTGCCGCACGGCATCGGCCAGAAGAAGAGAAACCGTGCTGCCCTCGAGGATGAGACAGACACGGAGAATGTGCCGCCTGTCGACTTGACCGCGGACGCGCGCAGTGCTAAGCGAATGAAGATGACCTCGCCCTCTCCGCTCAAGGCGCCCACTCTGAGTGCTCGCAAAGTTGCAGCCCCTAGCCCAACCAAAGCTGCGACTCCCAGTCCCACCAAGCCTCGCTCGCATACTCCTCTACGGTCGGCCACGACCAGCCGCATGAGCACTCCGGGCATCAGCACTCCGGCCAGTGTGCGTGCACGCAACCGGGGTGTGCTGAGCGTCAGCCGCTTGAACATGCTGGCGCAGCCGAAGAACCGTGGCTGATTAAATGAGACTAACATTGATTGCATTTTTGAGCGTTGGACGCATGGTACTTACTGCGACATTTCTTGTTGATGCTTCTTTTCTTTGGCGGCTGCCGTGTATTTAGTGCTCCGGATTGGTGTCTGTGGGACTTTGATTCTTGTGAAATTGTAGGCGCTGGGATGCATCCGATATGCAAGGCGTTCATGATTTGATTGTTTGCTGAATAAAGAGATTGAGACTGTATTATATTCAATTTGGTAACCAGTTAGTTGATCAACCATACGATGATGTATGCGATAACACTAGTTCAGCAGCTTGTTCTTGTGTTGATACGCGGGAGTAGATTTAAAAGGAAGTTTGTGATAACGTTGCGTGCATTTGAGGCACTTGGGGAGCAACGTATAACATACATCGCATAGATGATACAAAGTTACTGACACATTCCACGCCTGATGGGGTGGGAGTTATTTTAGGAAGGCAGCTTATCTGACAGATGAAACAGGTGATCCAATGGAATGCACCTTCCTCTTTCCTCTTGTCTCTTCCTCCATCATTGTCAGAGACCTCCACATCTTCTTCCCTTTCGATGTGCGTGTCAGATACGTTGACCAGCAAGCCACCACTATATTATCGAGCACCTTTGGAGATCTTTCAGCTCATCTATGATGCTTACGTTCGAGTCGACGATTCGTTCAGCACTAAGCACGCAAGTGCCTCACCATGTGATATGATTAGTTCGATCACCCGCGCAGACGCCTAAGAGGTGGGGTTCCATGCATTGAGCAGATCCCTATCTTTCAGCTCTGCCAACTCAGCAGAGAGGGCTCTTATTGAAGAATTGGAACAAACCTCCACCCCAGCCTCCTGAAAACCGACTACTACGCTTGCTCTGCTTGTCACAGCTTGTTGCATTTTAAATCTTTGGGGTGATCCTTCCTCTCCGGAACTTTCCTATACGAGCTACCTCGTCGAAGGGTCATCATGGACGAGAATGAGGGTGTGAGCCAGCCTGTTGTGGATGATGAGGTCAAATCGTGTCCCTTGTGTTCGTGTCTTGAATGGGTTGAACTATGTTCACACGATGAGCCCCGTCCTCGTTTAATCAGTCAGAGAATTGAGCCTTCAGCTATGATAGATGTTCGATATACCCTCTTCCACCAGCAATGCGCTCAGTGCGATGGTATGCCCTATGCTTCGCTCTGTGAATTTTGCAAGCATCTTAGGCCGTGGCACATCGCACATGAAAGGATGTTTGTCAACCCCATGTTTAGGCTAAACTTTGGGAGCGTTCAGGTCATACTGCAGCGGTCTGGAGATTGTGAATTTTGTCGCATTATTACCCAACTTATGGGCCTTGAAGGAGACAACCTAGATTCATTTTGTTTCCTGGATATTATTTACAGGAATTCATACAAGGATCTTGACTTTATCATGGGAATCTGCGTCAAGAGTTTGTATAATAATTTTATCACGAATTTGAGCGTAGGCTAATCATGATTGTAAGGCTACTCAACATCTGCATATCGCATTTTTGGTGGGAACTTTATTTCTTCCCAAGAGGGTAATGAAAGTTCTACCAAACGAACACAATTGCAGCAGCCTATGGTGGACTGGAGCACAGTTCGTACCTGGTTGGGGAAGTGTGACAAAGAGCATGACGGAAAGCTTGGATTTCCGTGTGACAATGGACCTCTAGAAACACCGCCCCTTGAATTTCGAGTTATTGACACCGAAAGAGGATGCGTAGTAGGGGCTCCTCCTGGCTGCAGATATGCTACCCTGAGCTACGTGTGGGGTAGCACTACCGACACATATGCATTGGCAACAACAAACACCATTCAAGCACTGGAAGAAGAAGGCTACCTCTTCAAAATTCCTTTACCGGCCACCATTAGGGACAGTATCCGTGCATGCATTGAATTGAAGATACGGTACCTCTGGATCGACAGACTTTGTATTGTGCAAGATGACAACATCACCGTGAAAGACTCACAGATTAATGCCATGGGTAATATCTACAGCCATTCTTATCTTACATTAGTGGATTTAGAAGGCCGCAGTATGGATCACGGTCTTCCCGGGGTTACGCAAGAAAGAACATTAGAATATCAGACACATGGAATGAAACTGGGCGTCCTAGAGCATGGCATCTTTACGCTTATCACATATGCAAAATGGGGAACCCGGGGCTGGACGTTTCAGGAGGCACTGCTATCAACAAGAGTGTTGTTGCTTGCAGATACAGGGGTATTATTTGAGTGCTCACGGGCTTCTCAGGAAGTCACAAGCTCTGGAGTGTCGAGGCCACTGGATTTAATGTTCAATTTAGCCCAGGATTACAGGAGCCTAGTGAGTGACTTTACTTCTAGGACTCTTACTTTTGATGCCGATGTTCTTAAGGCATTCTCTGGCATTATGCATTGGAAATATGGGTCTGAGCATTATTTTGGTGTACCATACTGTGAATTTGTGAAGGGTATGCTCTGGAATCTCGACACGATCCATAAACACAAGGTACTAGTGGCGAGGAGTGCAGAAACAGGTGATATATTTCCGACCTGGTCATGGTCTTCTATGATGGGGCCTGCTCGGTTGGATTCAAAGACAGATATCCATACATTACTGGGTGTGTGGGGCATCCCATCTTTCGAGGCCAAGGAACTGGTGCACATAATTCGGCCTCATAACTCAGAACTGTCATGGGACGAAGCCGAGGACGGCGGCATGGTTCGAGGACTTGGTATTGTATTGGCGTGGAAAGAAGGTTGCTTCCCAGAGCCATCACCGCTCATGCTGAATGTCAACACGACTTGGGAAGATTATAAGACCGTCATCAGGTCCAGATGGGCATCAGTTGATAAGCTTAACGAAGAAGCACTTGGGGTAGCAAATATTCGGGGAAAGGAAGATTTCGAAAGGATATTTCCCTCATCATACGTGGAACATGCCGATCAGCCAGGAGCATTGCTGGCACATACACAGTCACTCCGTGCTCGGATGGTCCAGCGGGGAGACACAAAGATCAAACCCCATAAATGGCCACCGCATATACATGCAAGTTTGCACAGCTTGGGTGATGAAAAGGTTGACGTGTGGATACAGTCTAACCCTGCCCATTGGCAATTCCTCGGCCATGATTACAGCAAGGATCACGATACCAAACTGGATGTGCTTGCTCTGTCGATGAATCATGAATATTCCAAATATGAATTTCTAGGTCGAGGCGAACAAGGTCAATGGTATGATTCGGAGGGAACTGGCCTCTTTGAACGTGACTATGACATCTTTGTGGTCAACGTATTGCTTGTCGAAACTCGAAATGGACTCAGTCGACGAGTGGCTATAGGTCAAGTCGAGCTTCATGACTGGATTTCTGCGTCACCCGAATTTCGGAATTTTACTCTGGTTTAGAATGTTTGGAGAGGTAGATTTTCAGCGAATGAGCTAGGTACGAGCTGGACTATCTGCTCTCATACAATGAATTGCATGGCTGTTTCTTAGACAAATAGTAGGATCGTTACCATTTATTCTCAAGTTTATCCTGGGAGATGTTAGATCTACAACGTAAGATATTTTCTATCATCTTGTTTCCTGCATTCCCATGTCATTACCAAGGGACTACGATGTCCAACTTCTGTCGAGGCATAAGAATCTGCCACTGCTTAGAAGCCTATGGTTTCCCATCTAATTATGGGGTTTCAAACACATGTATGCGTAATGGGAATACCTCAATTCTACCGTCCCACAACCCTTCAAGCGGATCTGCTTTTTTGGGTGCACAATGCTCATAGCATCATATGTAAAAGCACACTATCTGATAAAACAGCCTGACTACCTTCAAGCAGAACTTGACTGAAATGAGCATAAGTGATACAATCTCATGTATTTCGTTGTACTCCATAGCACCACCATCACTATCATTACGATCCACCTCTGACCCAACCCACCTTCACTTTTAATCTTTGATGAATGATCCCTCACCATCCAAAATAGCACCTCCCACTCCTTAACATTACTCACCCCATATTCCAAGCATCAACTCAACCTTGAAATACCAAGGTGATCTGATCTATACCTCAATCCAACCAGAACTCCATTGACTTATATAAGTTCTTCCAATGTGTGCTCACATACACAAACCATGAATATCCATCACATGGTTTATAACATCCAATCTATTTGGGAATATCATCATACTCTCATACCCAAATCCCATCCAGTACCCAACTCACACAAAGAAACAAACCCTAAACCCAAACCTAAAACCACTGAAGTAAGAACCTACTCCCAACATCCACCTCCACCTCCACCTAGACTACTCACCCAGAAAATGTCGGTGAACGCCAACCAAACTCAACCAACCCAAGCCTAAACAGGTAAAGTGGGACAAGAAAACAAATCACTGATTATCATTCATGGAGAAATGAGGGGTAGACAAAACCACTCACTCACTCACTCACTAGTTTAACTAGTATGTACTAAGTACTACTTTACTCCGTGTTGGCCAGTGAGATGATCGATCATCGCTCGGAATTTTATGATTTATTTGATTGGTGGGGAGAAATGACTCACTCACCTTAGTTACTATTTCTTAACGAACTGTGGGATTTTCGTGCCGGGTTGCCGGTTTGCTTTCCCTGATTTACAGAGTTCATAGTACGTAGTATGCATTTTACCGAGATTTGAAAGTTTTGTTTTATTTAATTTGATTAGATTTGTATTCAGCTATGTTTAAAATATACTCAAGAAGGAAGAATGATATATTAACGCCGTCCCATGGATCGATCCCACCCACGGCAAAGTAAAAAAGTAAAGATAATCAAAAGTGGGTATCGTATCGGGTATCTCCGCAAAGGCAACCAAACCACAACAACAACCACTACACAATGTTCGTAGTCAGTAGTAGTGTTGTCAGTACTGTACAAGAAAAATCAATCATCAGTTCATCAAACCATAATCATCAAAATCATCATCGTCATAGCAGCTTAGAAACTACTCCTACTATCCTGCTTCCCGAACGACTTGGTAAAGTCCAACGGACTTAATTCCCGCTCCGTGGCGGAGTTATTCGTTTGCGTCTCCCCACTCCACGACTGTGAGCCATTTGAATGTCCCGATGGCGGGAGATCCAAACTATGGCCATGATCTCGGTCTAAACTTCGGTCTCGACCGACCCCACTGCGTAAAATGTTGCCCGTCCCCGCACCACCGCTCTCGGAGTGCTCGAACATGGCGATGGAGAGTTCTTCCGAGTCCATGCGGGGAGGGGGCCGTCGACGGGGTGCGGCGCCGGCCGCGGCGTGGTTGAGATCAGAGGGGACGCGAGTGGCATCGACGAAGTCGGGGAAGTCATTGTTGAAATTATCGTGAACAATGTCGCCATTCCGGCATGGGATTGGCGGCGGGACCGTGACAGCCGCGGTGGCCGCATAGAGCGGCGAATCAGGTTTCCAGGTGAGGTTGTGGGCGCTGCGGACGAGCAGGACGAGTTTACCGAGGACGGCGAATTCGAGTTTGAGCTTGATGCTGTAGATGACACCCTTGATCATGGTTTCGAGGATGTAGAGGTCGCGGTATTCGATGACGAGGAGGGCCAAGTCCAGAGCGATGATGATCAGATTGATGGCGACGAGCTGGTACATGATTTTGCGTTTTCCGCGGTCGGGATCGAGACGGAGCATGCGGATGGTTTCCCAGATGTAGAGGACAGAGAGGATGAATTCTTGCAGGCAGAAGCCGGTCATTTGGATCTTTTCCATGATGCTGTAGCCGTCGATGAATATGGCTGGGTGGGAGGAGAGGTTGGAGCCGTAGGTCAGGACGGAGGTGGGGATATGCAGAAGGAAGGCGTTCACGATAATCATGGTGAGGACGCGGCGGAGGACTTTGGGGTTAGGGAGGACGAGGTGCAGTCGCGAGTAGAGCACGACGGATTGGCCGGTTACCATGGCGTACCAGCCGATGGTGATGAAGGTGATGGAGAGGGCTGTGGCGGAGGTGAGGGCGAAGTATTTGAGGAGGAAGCCGACGGAGTAGGGAATCAGGCCGAGAGCGGAGATGAGCAGGGACCAGAAGTAGGGACCGCGATATTGGGAGAAGGTCACGAAAACGAGGATGACCAGTTCAATGGCGTTATACCAGGATAGAGCGGCCATGGTAGCGATGACGATGCGCAGGGCCAGGCTGTCGCCTGAGTAGGGCCCAACCACGCCATTGCCGGGGGAGGCGGTAGGGCCGGTGATCATGATGCCATTGCAGAGAAGACGATATAAGATGGGAAGGAAGTAAAAGAGGAAGAGAAGAGAAGAGAAGAGAAGAGAGAAAGAGGAAGTAGAGAAAGAGGAAGAAGAGGAGAGAGAGGAAGCGAGACTAAGCGAGTAAGAGGAAGGCTAGACGAGTGAGCGACTAACAAGAGGAAGAGGCAGACAGAGACAGCAGCAGCAGCAGAGGCCGATGCAGGATCCGGGGCAGGCGGGCAATTACCCGACATGTAATGAATCAAGAATCATGACAGGTCGTCGGGCTCAGATCCTTGCCGTCTGGGGACACTGAAAGGCAGTCAGTGCCCGGCTGACGGGCGGGGGCCGGCGTGACGCGGTGCATTGTTATTTGCAGTTGCCCTTCGCCTGGTTTATTGGGCGGGGAGACTGTTCACTCTGTTGTCATTATTATTGTTCAGCTGAGCGTTTATCTGTTAGTTAGTTAATGTTGTGTTATGTTAAACTCTGAGATACTCCGTCCTGAGGTGGATCCTAACTCTGGTGGATGATCTCCCACATAGGGTTATGTTATGCCTGCTATACCTGCTCTCCTCCCCTTCCATATGAGATCATATAGGAGAAGAATAAAGGAGAAAAACAGTCCTTGCATCCCCACGTGCATCCCATTATTTTTATTTCGATCATTCATTCAGTTTTATTTTTATCCCTCTGCTCCTGGTCTGAAGAGTTAATAATAACTCCAGGGGGCAGCAGCAGCAGCCACTGCCACACACAAGGCTGAACTTGCTTGCTGACCTGAGTTTCAGTCTAGTCGGCATTGGATTCCGATCATCACATTCCTTCCATCATCCATCATCACAAATCACTCATCATAATTATTAACCCCCCAAAATAAAGCAAGCAAAAAATAACTCCACTCCCAAACTCCATCCCAATATAGTTCTATCCCTCTATTCGATCATAACCATCATCATGAACTAAACATCATCCCCTCCCCTCCCCATTATTATTCCCATTTCCATCACCACCGAACGAAGCAACCACTCTATCCACCTCCCCCCTAACCTCCGGCATCGCTCCCCTCATCTCCCTCGCTAACACATCCCGGAAACTCCCAAACGCCTCCTTCTTCCCCCTCAGATCCTGGTTCCCGCGCTGGATCAACTCCACGAATTCTCTTGTGTAGATATCCGGATTCCTTGCTGCATCTACGTAGTCGATAATCTCGGGGGGGAGTTGGATGCTGTGGATGGGAGGGTCGTTGCTGTTTCCTGGTGATTGTGATTGTGCGTCGGGGTGATTATCGGAGGTGTGTGTGCTGAGGGTGGAGAGCGCGAGGGTGAGGTTCTTTCTGAATGCATAACACGTAATCCGTTAGTAGAGTGGAATCTTAGGTGAGGAAGATGGCAGGGATAGGAAGGAGGGTACATTTTGCGGACGAGCTCTTGTTGAGTTTCGGGACCGAGGTAGCCGTGAACGGCGGATTGGATTTCGAAGAGGTGTTGGATTACGTCTTTGAGGTCGGCTGGGCAGAAGATAGAGTTAGTAACTGATCACATTAAATTAGAGAAAATAAATACACACTGTCGACCGTGCTGAGGGGGATGGGAGCCATGATGTGCTGCTCTGAAACGTGAAGCTTGAAGCTGAGGCGGATTCTTGTTGGATGATGACGAGAGCAAAGAAGAGTCGAGTCCGGGGTAGACTAACCGTTTTGGGTAATACGATGCTAACATGGTTTTGATTTCCTACGGATCCCGCCGCTTTATGATTATGGCACCTGAGCACCTCCGGGCCACACACTCGTTGCTCGCAGAGCATGCACTACATTTTGCTCTGCTTTGGATGGTCGCGTCCCTAACTCTGCCAAATGGAGCTGTTACTAGATATCTTTGGGTACTAAGCCGATCAGGCTGATTCTGTACGTGACATGTAGAGCCCTACGTAGCATTTACAACAACGTAAGAACACGATACAGTTCTCTGGTCCAACCTTCTATTATCCTGATACTGATCCAGTATGGCAAATGTCGGATTATTATGAGCACATGCCCCTCTTTGTCGATGGCATGATGAAGTATATGGGACGAGATGAATTCAGAAATTCCTGTCCCCATTGGATAAGGATCGCGAGCCAGCGCGACAGCCACGGGTGAGTCCATGCATCAGCTGGTCGTGACACAGCAGGCCAGCGCCTCCCTCCGACCCGACCCGAGGGACATGGTCGTCCGTGCAGTCTGAATAGTCGTCAAGGTATTCACTGAGAAGGTTTACTAGGCAATACGGCGTTTGTTGAGCGAGCATACGTACCGTGAAAGGTGTCCATGTGAAACTTCCTTAGTTCAATAGAGGATAAACGGGTTAAAAGAAAGCATGCTGGCAGTCACAAGTTCCTAGACGTCATCTTCTTATGTGCAGCCACCTTTTTGAGTATCCATATTCTATTGTTGTCACGTGTTTGCTACTAAGCCTGATCAATGTCTTATTACAATTGCTTATGCCGATTGTCGAGTTGTGACTGACTGTATTTATGAAGAACCCAGAAAATAGCAATATAGAAGATTTTAACAACTATTTCATCCACCAATGGGCCTCGGATATCTGTACATAAGTTGACCAGGTAGAGTAGAAGGATGGAAGACAACGAACGCGAGCCAAACGTCATCTCGTCTCACCGTGGACATCTACATTCATTATGGATGGTCCTGGCCTCCAAAACACCCATAGCTTGTTTAAAAAGGTAACTATGCTATAATAATTGACATGCACATCTTGCCATCCACTCATAAAACCATAATCAGTCGAATTAGTGGATATAGAAGATTGATGCTGTGAGATGACTAGAGAATGTAGACTGACAGTTTCTGAATATGAATAGGATATATGTGGGCGACCCCTTCCACCCGAGAGAGAGAACTGGAGAATATAGGCTAACATTATAAATTTGGATAGATTGTATGTGTTTGACCCCTTCTTACCTGAAAGATAACTCTAGATTATAGGCTGACAGTGATAGGATTACATAGTGTGATGGTATGAATGTGAGTGACCAGTTCTGTCTGAGAGATGACTTGAGCATATCTTTCGTACAGATAAAATTTAGTAAACATTTTACCGGATTTGCTAGATACTGCAGTATTGCCAAACCCTTATTCTTGTAAGATCTCTGAATTACATTATGCTTGTTGTCCACTAATAAACTTTTACAAGAATGTCCGAATTATTATACTGCTCGATCCCTTGGGGGCATGCCATGGATAATTCGGCATCAAGCCTGAATAGGGCTCTTTAGACGCCTTGGTTTAGGTTTTTCCTATTGAATTAAGATTCCCTATACTGTTATGCAAATGCAAAGGCTTTTTTTATATGAAATATCATTCTATATTATTTCTGAGTAGTCTTTCAATGCTAGGTTATACGGATTTATTGATATGTCTTTCCCGATTATCGCTTTTGTTTGAGAGACTGTTTGAACCCGTTCAAACTTCCTCTAATTTGATCTCATTTCTGGCAGTACACAACTTTCGACATATGATAAGATAGGGAGACCAATTCAATACGTAGTGTACTAAACGATCCGTGTTGCAACCAACTTTACTCTTCTTATTCTCATGTCACCGAGCAAATCTTGGGAATTCCAAGTCTCCAGCGACCAGGCATGGCTTTGGATTCCTAAACACCGAGTACTAGTAAATGGTAAACTTCGCCTACTATGAGACGTACTATGTTCATCATCTTCGACGCGGTCGAGCTGAAGTTTCAAGCAGCCATAAGCACTGAAGTCTCTGGACTAACCGGAAAATCAGTTCAGTGATCACGCCTAGCTCTTATATGTGACTTGTGCGGTCGACCTTACGCGAGTTATATGGAAGTCGACTGGATATACCGACCACCCCCCTCCACGGTGGAATTTCTATGCTAATCCGCTGGGCTGTACAGTATATTCGAACCTATAAGATGCGAGTGATCTATATAGGGCTGCAGTAATGGCTCATACCTTCGTTGAGGACTGTTGGGACGCGTATCTCTCCGTCGCTTGGCTGATATACCGTTTTTGGTCTGGCGGTTAGTGTGTTGACGAGTACTTCTAGGGTAGATTTCTATCTGCATATTGATTTTGAATTAGTGAACTGGAATGGTACTCTTTATAATGGAATATTCTATAAGTCTAAACGAATACCCAAGGGACCTTTCTTTGAGCAACCGTGGGCGTTGCGGCCAAGTCTGATTACGTCCGGATTGCAGCACACGCACCGACGCGCTCATGCCTTGATCCCAGCTGACCCTAAGCGAAAAGCGGCGCTACCTTAAGACCTATTTTGGAAATGGAAAGTCGACAGCGTTCCGCAGAAATCCTGTTTAGTAAAAGGTATACTTCGTTATTATACTCGATATAGTTCATAGAAACTATGATTCAATGCAATGCTCGCTCGCTGATACAAGTCTACCTATGTATACCAGATACCGCTCTATCTATATTCAACCCTCACATCTGCACTCAGCTATACTTCGCGCGTCCGCAGCGGCACCCGCGCCATCTCGATCTCCGTCTCCATCTCTAACCCCGACAGGCTTGGGAATCGCCGGCTAAAGTTGGCTTCCCAGTCATCGCCTGCCGTCGCCGGCGAGCTCACCGTCGGACTAGCGGGTTGGCTCTCCGTCCGCGTCTCGATACCCCCCACTCGGAGCCCCTTGGGCTTGGGTGGCAGAGCCGGTCGGGACGACCCGGTGCGCTGAGAGGCGGCATAGCCCGTCGAAGCCGTCTCCTGTCGAGGCAGTCCGCGCGATTCGTACCGCTCCTGCATCGATGACGTTGTCGTGCCGCTGACCCGCGATCCTCGCGTGTCCGGACGTGCCTCCGTGGGCTTTGCCTGCAAAGCGGCGCTTGACTCGTCCGTGTATCGCCCGTAGCCCGTCGCCGTTTTGGGCGGAACCGGTGGCCGGTTCGACTCGCTCAGCAGCGACTGCACCTTGCTCTGGATCGCCTGCGACCGGGACCCGTCGCCGCCCTTGAAGCCACCCGCTCCACCTTCGGCCACCCGCCGGCGGTACTCCTCTGCTGCCTTGGCTACGCGCTTCTCCTCCTGGGAGAGCCGCCGCCGCTCCAGCTCCCGCCGCATCTCCGGCGAAATGTCCTCGCTGTCCATCTCGATCAGTTCGCTGGCCGGCTCTGCCGTCACCTCCGGCGAAGGCAGTACGGGTTTGGGGAACTCTTCCGCCACTGGAGACTGTGCCTTGCTTTCTTGGTTACTATGTTCGAACCGCCGGAACGCATCGCCGAATCGTCCCGCAAATAGCGTCTTTGTGCCTGACAGGGACAGCGTCGACAAGCTCGACCGTTTCGTGTGCTTGGACGTGCCGCTATACCGCTTCTCGCGCTTCCGGCTGCTCTCCTCTTCGCGTGCGCGCAGATAGTCCACATCCGACGAGATGTTGCGGTCGTACAGCTGGTCTGTTTCGGTGCGCGCGTGTTGCAGCGGTGCGCCGCCTTCATAAGGGCTGCGTGGCAGGTCAAGGGAGGAGCGCGCGCTCTCCGACCCGCGAGGCAGCTCAAAACGTGCGCTAGCATGAACAGACACAGGCCGGGAGCGGCTGTTGGCTGACCGAGATCGGCCCACGGGCTCCTCCACATCCAAATTGGTAGGTCGGAGTCCGTCAAGCGACGGCCGTGGCGAAGCAGACAGATCGGAGACGCGGTCGTTCGAGACTCGCGGGTTGGGGAAGGACGAAGAGGTGGGTGACGGAGCTTTGCTTTGCCGAGCTGCTTTTTTGTCCGCCTCTGCCGGCCACGGTTGGCTGGATGGCCGACGCTGGTGGTCGCTGGACGGGAACTTGTAGATGGGCCGGCTGGCTGGCTTGGAGTTCGGCACACCAGGCGTCGCCGGCGGGGAGGTCATGGTACCAGTCGAGACCATGGTGGGTTTCTGCGGCACAGGCTGGTACAAGGGAACCTGAGGCCGGGACTCCTCGCGGTAAGTCTCGATCACCTCGGACGACTTGGTCTTGATCGGTGCCGGCTGGGGACGGCGCTGAATGGTCGGCTCCGAAGATGTCTTGGGAAGAGGATCGTTCTCTGCCGCGGGGCGTTTGGCGAACGCATCGTCTGCCAGAGCATTGGTAAGTCGTTGAGCCAGATCTTCGTCTTCCGTTTTCTCGGACACGGTGGGCTCAAAGTCGAACTTGCCCCCTTTCTCATGCAGGATCTGGAACTGATCCAGCGACGGGAACCGGTTCGAGAACTCATCCGCGGAATCCCGCTGTCGGTTTCCAGCATCCAAGACGGAAAATGGATCGCCAGATCCACGGAATGGTGACGGACTCGGCTTGGCCGAGTTGTGCTGGGACGGGGTTGGTCTGGTCGGGCGGCCGCGTCGCATGGGGGCAATCTCGGGAATGATCTGCGTCTCTTGCATTGGGGGAGAAAAGACGGCGCCCACCTGTGGTGTTTCTGTGGGGGAAGGTGGCAGCTCCTGGTAACGGCGGGCTTCCGACGTCGAGCGATTGGCATAGATCTATCCGTGTGAGTATCCGCACTGCGTCTGCAGGTACCTGACTTACGTCTCGGATCGGCACATCCTTGCCTTGCATGTGGCAGATCTCGCGCACCACTTCATAGATATTCGGGCGTTTTTGCGGGTGTTCTTTCAACATCCAGGCTGGGAGAGTCAATACAATGCCTTTCTTTCGCGCAGAGGGTCTTACCAATCAGCATCTTTAAGCGGTCGGAGAAGGGTGGGTAGCTAGGGAATTTGTAGCTGGCATTCAAAATGGCCATCTGTCCCACCTCCTCAAACGGAGTCGTGTAGTAGCATAGTTTATATAGGAGGACTCCCAAAGCCCAGATGTCGCTCTTCTCGTCAATAGGCTGCTTCCGATAGACGTCGATCATCTCCGGACTGCGATACTGCAGCGTCGTATGGCGCTGCACGTCATCCTCAATCAGCCGGCCTTCAGCCGCCGAAGTGGCCGCGGGGCGCGGCGGCGCAGTAGACCCAAAGTCGCACAGCTTATAGAGCGTGGAGCTTCCGTGACGGGAGATCAGCACATTCTCGACTTTAAGATCCCGGTGCAACAGCGGAGGCTTGAGGTAGTGCATGCATGCGACACCCTCGGCCACGTCCGAGAAGATCCTGATAATCTCTGGCTCGGTCAACCGGTTCTGCAAGCGCGTGTTCATGAAGTCGATCAGTCCGCCGCCGGCGCAGAATTCCATGAGGAGAAAGACCTCGTATCCGCCGCCCTGCAGTTGCGACGCATGAGAGTCAATGTAGGTGACAATATGGCGGTGTCCCTTGAGCTTCTTCATCGTTTCGACCTCCGTGCGCATGTTGGCCAGGGCCGCCTTGTCGGGGACGGCCACGCGCTTCAGCACCGCACGATCGGAGCCATCGACAGGTTGAGGCAGGCGCACGACGTAGACGTGGGCGAAACCACCTTCGGAGAGGTATTTCTCAACCACGACCCGGTGGCTGCCCACCTGGACCTTGGTCCCGGGCAGAAAAGTACCGGCGGGGGCATTGATGGCGGCCATGGGGTTGTAGACGGGGATCGGGAGATGCGGAGCCGCCTGTGACTGGTAGGACATGGTGGATGGGACGGGCCCTCGAGGGGCACGAGAGCGATGGTCAACAAGGACAGGCTATAGCGGCATCAAAGGGAAACGCTGATTGCGCGAGAGAGTAAGAAATAGAGGTCGGCTGAGGCTGAAGCCGGGGCAGGACGGAGAGAAGGACAGTTGGCGGCGGGGAAGGGGGCGGTACCTGACAGGGCCAGGGGCAAGAAATGACGCCAACAGGGGGGTGGGAGACGGGAGGAAGAGGAGGAAGAGAAGGAAGAGGGAATTTCTGGTAAACAAGTCGAGAGGATGGGAGACAGCAGCCAGCAGAGCCGGATGGGATTAGACTGACCAGCAGCAGCAGCAACGCAGCAGGCGTCAGGACTGGAGACTGGAGACTTGAATGGATTGGATGGCGTCGGCCGGCTTCCGTTAAGCGTGGAGTCACCGCCTGGCAGTAAGTTTGGTGCAGCAAAAGGCTGAAACAAGGCGGATCTCGAATTTCAGGCTGACAGAAGTTGTTTTACTATAAAACTGGGGAGAGAGAGGCAGAAGTTTTGAGGCGTAAGTATCTCCCCTCTTTCCCTCTCCTTTCTCTCCGCAACTGACTTAACGCATCCCGTGATCGCTTGGTGCCTGGAGATCACGGACGGACATCATCGTGATCATCCCGGCTGCAGGCGGTCAGAATCCGACCATATGAGTGACTGCGGTGGCTACTTTAGCTTTACTATCTAATACGACTGGACGGAGATATATTAGTGTTCAAGATGACTGGCAGTCATCCGTGAGGCCATCCGACCCTTTTATTGCCTGAGGCATAAAACGGAGAAGATTCACACGTGATAATCATTAGTCATGAATTGAACCAACCAGCGAGTGCGGAGACGTTGACCAATCAGAAGACTGCCGGTTCCCCACGCGATGCTCCAAAACAGCGAAACCAAAACAAACACAAACACTCAATATTTAGTGATCCTGCAGAGATATAAGCAAATCTTGATCGCTATTATTGCAATCAGCGGATACAACAAGGAATCCATGGTAGTCTACCCAGTAGATAACTCTAAGCCCACCCGGCCAGGGTTCTAATTAAGGTTGTGAGATCCCAGCCGGGTTCGCGGCGGGTGCTTGTGCTCTATAGACTTCCGCTGGAATGTGGACGTGCCACTGCATTCATCACGACATTGTATAGCAGGCTGCACCGGAGCTCATTGGGAGTGCCGATAGAATTCCAGTAGCCCTCCAGAATGTAGTGTACAGCTGAAGCCGATCCCATCGGAATCCCCGTTTGACAAGGGATCGAATCAGAAACTGTCAATCGGTCGTGCTCAGCAACTGAAACCCAGCCATTGAGTGATCATCGTTTATCCCGATTTATTGTCAACTATTCCATCTCCTTCCACTGCCACATCAGCCAGGTTACACACACAGAATATCCCACCGCTTCAGCGGGTGAGCTTTATAGTATATACATAGTATATCTCATTTAACGCTGGTCGCCAGGGATCCGTTAGCGTTGCTGCGAGGATCACACAAACGGAGTCGATCCTGATTAGGCGTTCCTCTTGCCGCCAGCCGATCTCTCATCCCACGTCGCCTGTCTTCTCCGTCTTCTTTCTCCTCCCTCGCAATCATCGTGTCACCTATTATTATTGTTCCACCAGGTATGTGCTCTCACTGACGATTGCTGAGCTATCTGACCTCCTATCTCGATCTAGACGCGCTGGATTCCAGCGCCTGCCTTGTCGTCTGATCATGTCGCCTCGATCGCAAATGCGCCTCCACTAGCCATCAACAAGCGATATATATATTATATAAACACCTATCGAAGCCTAATTTATTCTTAACGACCGCCTACCATGGACGAGGGACCTCCTCCACCCCCTCCCCCTCACGGCGAGAAGCCACAAACCACCCAGGGCGAATATCGCAAGACTTCCGACCTCCCTCCTGGCAACTACGACATCTTTATCATCCCCCCTCACTCCGCCGGCTCCGGATTCCTCTACCTCCCTTCCCTCCAGCCACAACGCAATAGCTTCATCGCGGGGTCCGCCTGCACACTCTTTGTTGTCCTACTTTGGACCCTCCTATCACCCCTTCTAAAAGCCTGGTACGCTGCCACCGTCGCCAGTGGCAGCGGCATGGCCATCGCCGTGCTGGCTATCGGAGTTGGGGTCGCCGGGTGGGCCGTGGGCGCCTCACAATCAGATTCTGGGGGAGGCCGACGACGGGCCAATTTTGGATTTAGCACCGGCGGGGGTCCAGGCGCGGGTGGACCCTCCGGCAATGGCGCCGGAGGTGAGTATGCGCGGGGACAGCAGTATGGGGCCCAAAATCAGGGCCCGAACGGTCACAATGGTGGACAGGGACAGGGACAGGGACAGCAGCAATATGGGGGCAACTTCAACTCGGGTCCGCCTCCGGGTGCAGGCCAGTATGGCGGGAACCATCAATACCAGAACACTGGTGGGCCCGGAAGTGGACCACCCCCGCAACCGCCGCCGCAGGCAGGCGGATCAAATAAGACAGGGTTCGTCTGCCACCCGGCTCTGAAAGCAAACCTCAAAGTGGAGCTGATTGGGAGAAGGCCCGTGAAGAGACCCGGCGCAAGGAGGAGCTGCGCCGCAAGATGGAGGAGTTTAAGCGAAAGCGGGAAGCCGAGCAGCGCGAGAAGCAGCAGAAGCGCGAGCGCGAGGCCATGGAGCGGGAGCTGCGGGAGCGCAGAGAGCAGCTCGAGAAGGAGATGGCTGCCGCCAAGGAGGCGGCCGCCCGTGAGGCCCGAGAACGGGCGGAGCGCGAAGCAGCCGAAGCCAAAGCCAAAGCGGAGCGAGAGGCCGCGGAAGCTCGAGCCAAGGCGGAACGAGAAGCAGCGGAAGCGCGTGCCAAGGCGGAGCGTGAAGCTGCGGAGGCCAAAGCTAAAGCGGAGAAAGAGGCCCGAGAGGCCCGCGAGCGAGAAGCACGTCGGGCAAAAGAAGCCCGAGAACGAGAGGCGCGACGCGCCGCCGAAGCCAAGGCCCGTGCTGAGCGCGAGGCCGCGGAGGCCAAGGCTAAAGCAGAGCGTGAAGCTGCTGAGGCAAAGGCCAAGGCAGAGAAGGAGGAAGAGGAGCGTAAAGCTGCAGCTAAGAAGGAAGCTGATGCTAAGTTCGCGGCGCTCAAAGAGGCTGCCGCGAAGAAGTATGCCGAGAAGAAAGCCAAAGATGCGCAGGAGGCAGCGGCCAAAGAAGCGGCCAGCCAAAAGGCATCTAGCACGTCCACTCCCCGCACTCCATCACCCAAGAAACCTGCTTATTCCCGCACCGATACCGACAGCTCATATTCCAATTTTCGACCGACTGACCGTCCCCGCCGGCCGTACGGCGGCGCCACCTCTGGGTCATCAGTGTACTCGGACTCTTCATACGCGCCGTCACAGACAACAGCACGCACGACCCCACCACCATCAAATCGCGGGGCCTATGAAACCAAAGATCCTGACAAGATTGTCATCAAGGGCGTGTTCGAGTTCAACAACAACTTTGTGCGCAGCCCTGTGGCGCAACTTGTCTCAGGCCAGGGCATGGTCAGCGACGGATTGGTTCTGAGGATCACGACAGAAGGCCTCTTCATCGACGACGACGTGCGCGGTGTCGGTCAGCGGGAATGGGATGTGAAGGCGTGGACGATGAACCTCGTTGAGGTATGGTGTCCGAAATTCGGGGCGCAGCGCCAACCACCGAAGCCCCCGCCGGGGCCATTCAATCGGCGCGGGAATGAACCGACCCCAGAGGAATCGGAAGCATTCCTCGGCAACCTGCTCAAGATGTGCAAGAACACGTGCCGATTATCAACAGGCGGAGGAGAGGATCAGCGCACGCTGCATGTGTTGCGGGCGTCGGTGCGTGACCACGAGGGCAAACGGTATGTGTTTGTGTTGCAGGAGACGGAGGGGTGGAAGGTGGCGATTGGATTGCAGCGGTTGCGACGGGGGACGTTGTCGCGGGCATTAGGGGTGATGGGGTTGGGAGTGAATGAGAGTCGGATGATATTATCAGGATTAGGATATGAGTGATGATACCTTATGTATATACCAGCCAGTCAGTCTTTAGCACATAATTATCAAACTTTCCAGTTTACTTACTAGTATAGTAATAGTGGCGTTAGCCCTAAGCCAACATCACCGGAATGTGGCGTCCCCATCCACATCCATCTATACACTCACCACGTAGATAAATAAAACTACACAGATACTAAACAAGATATATTCAATACATCATCCCAACCCCACAGCAAATGAGTGCAGGAAAATCCCCCTTGGGAATAAACCTCCCCAGGGTCATGACGTCGGAACCAAACAACTCCCTTCCCCCCGCTTAACCCCAACCCAACCACCAACGCCAACATCAAACCCAGACAAAACCTGTCGCAACATCACCACCACTCATTCATCCCATGATTAAGGCAAATGGCTACAGCTACTGCAGACAACAAGACCAATATGGAATGATACCAACAATACGAACTCAGGAAGGACAGGAGAATGTCCCTCTGGACAATCAGCCTCGTCACGCAGATCCTGTGCCTGGCGCTGGTAACGGCGTTTGTCGCGCTACGGGGAGTTGTCGCGTGGCGGTTCAAGAAGGGGGTGGATGTTGAGGATGGTATGTATCATCATACCTTTAAACCCTCTTAGATATAATTAAGATGGCGTTGGCTAATGCGGGTGTTAAACTAGGGTTTTGTTTTGTATCGCTGGTATACTATACTACCTACCCTAACCATACCATATCTATCTATACTGAGTTATAGAATGAGAGACTGATATAAAGAGGGGTAGATATTCTTCGACGCATACTGTATATTAGTTCTTTTCTGTTCGCATATTCCCCTTCCCTTATATTACTTACATATTATCTCGACATACTAATCAATGAATTGGAATAAATGGATAGACATCTTCAACAACGGCGCCGAACCCCCCTCAACCCTCACCACCTCGGAAGCGACACTCGTCTACAAGGTGCGATTCCCCTATCCCTCATACATTAGTATTTCTATATTCCACCTGAAAGTTGAAGTTATATATCCCACCTGAAAGTTACTAAATGAACTAAATGAAAATAGATATTCTACACCCTAACAATCCTCTACGTCCCCATGGTCCTCCTCGCCAAACTAACCCTCCTCACCATCCTGGCCCGGCTCTTCATCCTGCGCCGCGGCCAAATCCTCACCGTGTACCTAACCATCATCATCACAACGCTCTACTACATCATCATCTTCTTCATCAAAATCTTCATCTGCAACCCCGTCTCCACATTCTGGACCTCGCCCAACGACCCCCATAACCCTAATTGTCTATCCGAAGGGGCGGTATTTCTCGCTGACGCGATCATGAGCGTCATCACGGACTTGGCTATTTTGTTGTTGCCGATTGGGTTGATGTTTCCACTGCGATTAGCTGTGGTGAAGAAGGTGAAGGTGGGGGCGATGCTTGGGTGTGGCGGGTTAGCTGTTGGGTTTAGTATTTATCGGGTTGTGTTGGTGGTCGGGGAGGGGGAGGGCGGGTTGGGTGATAGTCGGGTATATGCGAGGGTGTTGCTTTCTGGGTAAGGTTTTTTTGTTTTCTTTGGGGGGTGGTGATGTGGGTGATATATGCTGACTTGTGGATAGGAATGCGGAGGGAGGATTCGGGTTGATTTGTAGTTGTATACCGGCGCTGCATATCCTCCTCTCGAGGGTGAAGGGGAAGATGAGGAAAGGGTCGACGAGTACGAGGAAGGGATCTTCGTCGACTGCTTCTGGGGATGGGAGTGGGGGGAAGAAGAGGGATCAGGGGACTTCGAGTACTAGTGGGGGTACTGCTGCGCCTATTGTCATTACGAGTTCGCCGGAGGATGTTCTTCATGATCCTGGGGGGTTGCTTGCTTCGCTTGATGTTGATGTGTATGATCATGTGTATGATCATGATGAAGAGGAGGGACGGGGTGAGAAGAGTGACAATAGGGAGGAAGGCTAGATGTACATAAATTACAGTTGACTACTTAAGGCTTAAGGTTACTACTCAGTTATTAGGATCATCATACATTCATCCTATCCCAACTCATCAGTCATCCCAGGTATATAACGCCTCTGGCATCCGCCAGCATACTATCAATCAATAATCAATAAGACACTCCGTCCACAACGGATGAAGGAAAGAACCAAAGGAAAATAAGAAAAAAAAAAAAGAACAGTCTATCGCCCAGTCTGTCATGCGGGTGGGAATCAGAGGAAAGGAAAATCGAACAAGAAAACAGCAGCAGCAACACTTTTTAGCATGCACGCTGTCTAAAAGGGAAATCCGCCGGGGAATCCTCCGCGCTGTCCTCCTGCGTGCGCAAATCCGCCGCCGCCGTTCATCATGTTGAACAGCACGCTGGGGTCGATGTTGATATGGGTTCCTCCCATACCGCCCATACCACCCATTCCGCCCATTCCGCCCATACCGCCCATGCCTCCCATGCCGCCGAAGCCGCCGTGCGAGAACATGTCAGCTGGGTCCATCAGGTCATCGCCGTTGTCGTAGGCAGCACGTTTCCTATGCTTGGTTAGCGAAAGCCACTCATCACCACATCAAAGGATGAACTTACTGAGGATCACTCAAAGTCTCGTACGCCTCACCAATCTCCTTGAACTTCTCGTCACCCGCATCCCCGTCCCGGTTCTTGTCCGGGTGGTACTGGATCGCCATCTTGCGGTACGCCTTCTTGATCTCTTGCTCGCCCGCGTCCTTGGACACTCCGAGGATCTTGTAGTAATCCTTGCGCTGCGCCTTCTTCAGCTCAAACTCGGCCCGACGGATTTCCTCTTGGATGCCCTTCTCGGTCGGGTTCGACTCCGCCACCGCCTTGTAGTCGCGCACAGCTTCTTCCCAATTGCCGGCACCGCCGTGCGCCTTGGCGCGCATCTTCTGCGCTTTGAGGTACCCGGGGTCCAGCCGCAGGGCCTCGTTGCAGTCTGCCACTGCACTGTCGTACTCCTTCAGGTTGATGTAGGCCTGCGCCCGGTTCTGCAGGATCTTGGCGTTCTGGTCCTTGTTCTTCGGGTCCACCGTCAGCGCCTCACCCCACAGGTCGATGGCGCGACGATAGTCCTTGGCCTTGAATGCCGTGTTACCCTCTTCCTTGGTGCGCACCAGCTTCTGCACGGTCCGCAGCAGCTTGATCGCCGCCTTCATATCCGGATCCAGACCCAGACACATCTTCAGCAGCTTCAGCGCCTGCTCCGTGTCACCCATACCGTAGAAGGCCCGGGCGCGGATCATCAGCGCATCAGGGTCCTGGCTGTTCACGCGGAGCATGCTAATAGCAATGTCCTGTGCCTTGCCGTACGAGTTGTCGTTGCCCATCTTCAACTGGGCCTCTGCAGTCATCAGCGTCCACTTGCGGGGCTCCTTGACGCCTTGTCCGAGGAGCTGACGGGCCTGGTCGAGGCAGAACAGCACCATTGAGACACCACGGTCCTGCGAAAGAGCCTCCTCCGCCTGGCTGACGAAGCGGAGCATCTTCTCTGCGGCCGCACGGTCAGTAGCGGAGGCCGGGGGCTCGATACGAGACAGCACATCAAGAGCCTCCGTCGGACGGCCCAAGCTGGTCAGGATACGGGCCAACCGGTACATGATCTTAGTGTTGGTGGGGTCGAGCTCGCAGGCCCGTTCGCAGTCCTCCAGAGCAGCGAGATATTGGTTGGCCGCCATGTATGCTGCAGCCCGGTTGGACAGGTAGACGGACGAGTTGGGGCTAATCTCGAGAGCTGTACCATTGTTACTAACACTGCAGAAGATTGTCCGGCAGAATCAGGTATTAACCTACCCTTGGTAAATTCCTCAATGGCGCGGGCATAGTTGCCATCCTTGAAAAACTTGTTTCCAGCCAGCTTGAAGGAGTCGGCCTCCGCGGTGTTTCCATTGGACCGGTGAGGGGGCGGGGTCGGACTCTTCTCCGTGTGAGTGCCATTCACACCGTTGGTGGCAGAGGGAGAGCCGAGGCGGGGATCGTTGGTGTCAACGTCCATCGAGCTCCGGAGATCATCGCGAGCAGCAGCCATAGCGGAAAGACGACGTAGTTCGTCGGGATGAAGGTTAAGCGGGTGAAAGTTAGGGTCGTGCGAGTACCGATGGTGAACGGCAGACAGCGACGACGCGGACCGGGGGACGGACGAGGGTTTCGACCGGACCGAGGCTGATTTAGAGGGAGTGGAGGTGGAACGACTGTGCGCCGGCCGAGTAGGTTTTCGAGGAATGGAAGGGCGTTGAGTCGGAGTAGGAAACGACTGCGGATGGTGAAGCGGAGGCGCAGGAGGAGAATGGGGGTGGCGAGAGGGAGCCGAATGAACGGTCTTTGCCCGGTGAGGAGGGGGCGGAGGTCGAGTCGGGAATGAGTCGTCGGTCTTGACTCTTGCGGATGGACGTGGGGGAGGAGGGGAACTCGCTGAAAATGAAGAAGAATAAGGAGGAGGGAGAGGAGAGGAAGGAGGAGGAGGAGAAGAAGAAGAAGAAGCAGGAATCGAGCGAGTAGGAGGAGGAGCAGGAGCAGGAACAGTCGTCGGAGTAGATTTAGACTTGGAAGAAGAGGATTTGGAGGAAGAAGATTTGTGACGAGAGAAAAGATGCGGGAGCCCCATCGCCGCTGGGCTGACTTGATTGGTGGCGCCGATCGAAGGGCAGCGAAGGCGGTGGAATTTTGTTTTCTCTTGCGTTCTTTCTTCCTCGTCAGATCCGCTGGTTATCCCTCACGTCGCGCGGGTCTGCACTGGTTAATTTTATTATGCTTATTAGTCGTGTCGGTGGACAGTCCGTGTTATGTTAAATATATCACTGGTTCTGTCGCTATCTGTCTCTCTCGCTCTCGGTACTGTCGTAATCCCGATTTGTCGCTGTTCGTCCTCAGTCTCAAAACTCAAGCACTCATCATGTTCATGGCTTGTTCAGTGCAACTTCCGGAAAAGAATACCAGCGCGGAGTAGTATCAACTTTTAATGTCACTTCTTCACTGTTCGCGGATTGAACACAAAGCACGGCAAATAAATGTCACTAAACACACTCAAGTTAAAAGTCAACACTCAACAACAACACAGATGAATGAAAGTGATGTGAAGAAAAAGTTCAACGGCGCTGGCCTCCATCTGTCACGCTGCTACTAATATTAATAGTCTCCATCCCAGACGGCCTCCCAGTCGCTCGAAAATTCGGAGGCTGGGTCACCGACCATCACTGGCTAGCGTCTTGCCTTCGTCATGCGAGTTGCCAACAGCAACACTACGCGCTGCCAATGATTCCCCTCCATCCTACGCCTCTAGTCTGTCATGGCGGTCGCAGTTTGACAAGCTTTTTCTCTTTTTACGATGTGGCCTAGACTATCTTGACACTGCGGTTGGCTTATCGCTCCGTCCACCACCTTCTCTACCCAAAGCTGGGGCCACCCGCATGCTGGTGCGTCCAGTCCACGTTTACCCTAACTGCAGACGTGTAACATTGCTTTCCTTTCTCGCTACCTCTCTGTTCTTCTCCTGCTCTCCCGCCTTCCATCTGCATCGATCCTGCCTCCCCACAGTGCTCCACTCTCTTAGGTCACGGCTGCTGTTCCCCTGTTACGACGAACGAACGCCTCCCAAAAGATGTCCCAGTTGCAACTCCGCCTCAGCTCTCTCGACAATCTTCGCGACCTCCCTTTTAATCCGAGCCTGCTCTTCCGTACACAGCTGGATTTGTGGCGCGATCAGCGCTCCATGGTAATCCCGTGAGATCCGCCGTAGACGAGACTGGATTATCTGATCCACCTCAGCTTCCTGACTGTCCAGAAGCTCCTCGAGCTCGTGCTTCGCGTGCTCCGTACTGCCTCGGAGAACTTCCTTGGCGTGATCGTCGGCCACCTGTTGCATCAGTGCCCTACTGCGCTTCCAGCTTCCTAGTCCTGTCGTGACGATCATTTAGAATAATTCTTGGCCAGCTAGGATAGAGTCTCACCCGTCTCGGAGGCACACGCCCGGTAGGTGTCTTCAAGTCGCTCAGCGATCGCCTCCGCAAAAGCTCGACTGATACGCTTCTGTTCCAGCGTGGTCGACTTTCTCATCTCCCAGAATCGCTGACGCATCGACTGTTGGCATGCGACGAGGGTGCTTTGCAATCTCTTCTTGGTCTCATCGGAAACATCTTGCTCGACGGAATCAATGGCCTTCTTGTGGAATCGCCCGAGTACGACTTCCAGATCATCCGTCATAGTACGCATCGCATGAGGTAGTAGCTCGTTGAAAGTCCTGTTCACGTTAGATTCGTTCAAACTCTTTCGGTCGTAGATGTACCTTCTCCAGGCGGCAGCGATCTTGTCAAACATGGGTCGGGCTCTGTACGCAATTAGACCTGTCGTTAGCATTGCTGCAAAAGCTTCCACTCACAGGTCTCGATTCCAGTCCTGGATCGGCTGTCAGCTTAGTATATTGAGTCCGCATCAAGATACTTACCGTAGTACGGTATACTCCTCGCCGGCGACAGATGGCCTTGTAGGTATTCCATCGGAGTCCCTCATTCCAGCGCGAAACAGCTTCGGGAAATTGGAGGATTGCGTGGCGCGATGCTCCGCCTGTGCCATTAGCTGTGTTCAATAATACAATCAAAAGACGTACTGAGCTTGTTCAGGATATTCTGTTGGAAAATGTCCCTGACAGTCCGGTTAAACCGATTCTTATGCGCTCCCATATCCTTAAAGGGTCAGTATCGGTTCAAGAAGTACATTCGAGAGACATACTTCATCTAGGGCATCCAAAGCACATTCAAATCCGGCCTCAAGTTCCTTCACCCTTTGTTCAGATACATCTGCGGCCGACCTCACAGAATACCAAAGCGTCATCGACTGAAAGAGCTCGTTCAATTGGGTGAGGAACCTACGAGACGAATCTTCCCTGGCCTTCTCAGTGAGTTATATAACATGCCGCTGCAGAAGCGGAATTTCGGTCTCCTCTAGCTGGGAGAAGCCACCAACGAGCTTTGCCATATCAGAGCGTCCCCGAAGACTTTGGTAGGCTCGGGTCGACACGCAAAACACAGGTAGGTTCCTCTCCAGCTCGTCATACTTGCAAACTGGGGCCTGTACTGGGTTTTCGCTGTCATCGTCGGCAATTTCCTGGTCCAGACTCTGAATCTCCAAGGCAAAGCCACGCTTGATTTGGCATTTCGAAAACCTGTTCCTTGCCTCTATGCAGGAACTTAGGACAGCATGTTCCATTTCTTTCTTTCCGTCTTCCAGCTTCTGCAGCTCCGCCTCTTTGTTCTCCATTTGCTGGTTGATATGCTTCCGCTGAGACCGTAGGGCTTTACGCTCAACCTTGAGCTTCAAGAATTGGTTCTTAAGCTTGTCCACCTCCGAAAGTTCCGTGGCGCTTGCCTCGTGGACTGTTGGCGTCTCAGAGGGCTCATGTCCGTGAGGCTTCTTTCGTTTTGGGGTTATCTCCAGTACATCACAGCCGAACTCATCGTTGAGACGTTCTTCAAGGTCTTCAATCTCGGTCTCTATCAAGTCCAGCTGCGTGGAGATTTTCTTCTTAGCTTCTTCCAGGGCGTCGATTTCACCCATCATCAATTCAACCCTGGCTGGCAGCTGTTGGACCTCATTGAATGCTGGCAAATCGAGACCCAAAGACTGGATAACTTCAGTCGGGACAATGTCGTCGGTCTTTGTGCAAATGAAGGTCATGTCATTGAATGCACAATCCATCTGCATTTGTAGCTTATAATTCTTCCCAAGCAGGTCCCGAGCGACTTTATCATCGACAGCCCGGTTGATTGGGGCCACAATCCAATGAGCCGAACATCGTCGCATGTAATCTTCGGCAACAGCAACTCGTGCTGCATTTGAGTCAAAAATGCCAGGAAGATCCACCAAGACCGCACCAGTCGCTAAGGCTGGGGCTTTGGTGTAAATTCGCACAACACGCACAAGGGGCCAAAGTCCAATACCCTGATTGGCTGTGTCCGTGTCGCTAGCGGAATCTGGATGTTCAGCAGCATCTTGACTTCTAGCAGACTTCTTCGATCGGCCACGCTTGCCTTTACTGTCAATGTACGATTTTAATTTCATAGAAAAGGCTCTTGGATCGCTTCCTTCGAAAGCCTTAGTGGTTCCCAGAAGATCAGTAACTCTCCTATTAGCCATCAAGTCGGCTGCGGAGGTGTTCAATATATTATCTGCAGTCATCGTAGGATAGACCGCCTGGATCTTGTCCAGTGCCACCGCTGCATCCGAATTCTTGGGTATAGCACCTCGAGTCACTTCCTCTTGATGGTCCTGGAGTTCTGCGAATAACACTTCCAATTCACGTTCCCACTCAATATGCTTGATAAACTCGATTTCTGCTCTGTACTTCGTGCTTCTGTAGTTGTAGGAAATTTCTGTTGCAACAGCGGTAGAGGCACGCATGCAGTCTGTAGACAAGACGGCTTTCTCATCGAGGACTGCGTTGATGAGCGATGATTTTCCGGCACCAGTGCTTCCAACCACTCCGATGATCACCTTTTCCGTGCAGGCATATTTCTGGATCCGCTCGATCTCAGCTTTCCGGTCTGTCTCAGTGCCAAAAGCAGTTGAGCCTGCAAAAACCGCATGGAGCTCCTTCAATACATCGGCACCTTTAGCCACAGCGTTCTCTAAAGCAATAATCTCTTGGCTGTCAGCATCCTTGATACCGCACTCCAAAGACTGCTCAGCCGGGTCCGTCATAGGGACGTCCACGTCTGAAGGGGCAGCTTCCATCTCTGTTTCTGGTTCTCGTCCTGCCTGATCAACAAGCATAAGATCGGGAACGACATCATTATCACCACTTTCTTCCTTTGATACAGCGTTCTGTGGAAAGTTCGATTCAGAATCGATACTGTCAACGAAGACCTTAAAATCGGCAACTGAATCCAGTCAGTCAACATGCGAATAAAACCAGATAAAATCACACTCACAATCAACACAAGAGGTCATCTCAGCCGCTCTCTGATCAGTACGCGCATAATATTCCTCGTACAATGCTTTCAGGGAACATTCGTAGTCTGCGTACATACAATGCCAACCTTTTGTTTCAACATACTTGACACAGTCAATGTACAACCTTCGCATATTAGGCGTGGCATAGGCCCAGATTGCGTTGAAGTTGGGACATGCAGGTTCTTTGCGTATGATGAGTTTCTATACCCACTACCAACCACGGAAGAAGTAAAGAAAATCACTCACTATCCACCTTCCCCTCCCAAGACCGCTCATGCCTCGCAGTCTGCTCGGTCACAAAGTGCAACTCAGCACGTTTGAGAACCTGATCCTGATTTCTCGGAAACACCGAGCTCGGTCTCGCACCGCCCTCCATTATTAAACCGGCCCAGCAACCTCACTGCGAAACCTCGATGAAGTACTGCAACACGGCATACAAGAAGCACCAGAGAATGAAGACAGAGGTTGCTATTAAGGAAATATAGAAGATCCAGTAGACGAGAAGTAAAAGGGAGTGGAACACGGTGTTTATGATAGTAAACATAGCTGAGAGAGGAGACGCGAATATGTGGAGTGAATTGACTGTGTTTGGGGAGCAGATTCTACTTATCCATGGTCATTCACTGGCTCTCTGCACAGAATCGCACTTGTTTCCATTTTGGAGTTTGCCATGGTGACCGGAAGTGGGGTGTTGTGTTGCTGGGTTAGTAGGAAGGGGAGAGAGATGATGGCTGAGGCTGTGATGAGGATTGGAAGGTGCGGGATTCGGTGGTTTGGTTGTGTTCGTGTGGTATCACATGATGGGGATAGTGAGTAAGTGACTGGAGAGAGAGAAAGACCGAGGTAAGATGAAACGAAGAGGACGAGGTAAGTGGTAAGAATCAAGAGAAAGGAGAAAATGAACTATTACAGATTGGGTATCTCGAACGATGCAGAACTACCTAGTAAGCAGATAAAGGAGAGAAATATGAGATAATGTACAGGATGAAAGACATCAAGAAACAGACAATCTAATAGTACTACACATGCACCCCCTAAACACCCTGGCTATGCGTGGTAATTGGTGACGCTACTAAGCTCGATCAAGGATTATTTTAAATTAAGATAGCCGGCCAGCAGCTGATAATATCCGTTCCATCCCATCTCTACAACTCCGCCTCTTCCTAACACACTAAACCAACATCCTCACCTCGACACAGCCCGGTTGGCCCTCCTCCTCGCCACCTCCGTCCACCGAGATCCGCACGAGCCTTCATTTTCACTGTCATCCGTGGGTAGCGGAGGCAAGGGCCGATCCAGGATGTGCCGCCCATATGGCGGGGGTACATCTCTTCTCTGGGCTAAAGCAGCAAGGTGGACTTGGCCGTGAAACGAAGAAGGACGGTAAGGCGCATAGTGAGCATCAGGGGTGGGTCTGGTGGTCACGGCGTAGTCGGGGCTGAGGTGTGGTGAGGGGCATGGGGAAGGTTTCAAGAACCACAGCTTCTCTTTTTCGAGCCAGACGAGACGGTTGCCTTCGGTGGTAATGGTGGTCGTCACGGCCTGAGTGGTGACCGTGGTTGTGGTAGTTGTGCTCAGCATAGGGATGGGCGATTGGTGAGGGGTAAGGTCTGAAACGCTTCGAGTTCGGGAGCTCCACGGGTGAAGGGAGAAGGAGGATGAAGGAGGGGGGGGTGGTAGGTTTAGTGTTGGTTGTGGCCTTGGTTGTTGTTGGTACTCATGCTCGTCGGCTGTGACCGGGGGCTGTGGGCTGTGGCAGCGTTGCCAGAGATTGAGATTGGCTTCCGGCTCTTGCTGGAACAGCGCGTATGAGTATTCTGATTCAGACACGGGGCTGAAGATCGCGTCCGTCGAGCTTGGTCGAGGAGGGAGGTCATGAGGTGTTAATGGGCTGATCGGGCTGACTGGGGTGGACGTGTCCAGACGAATACTGGGGACATTCGCTCGTCGCGGTGAGACGGTGAACCGAGTGTCGGCGATAGGCGGGCCTTCTAAGGATGAAAGGTCCATTGTGAAAATGTGAAAGACGGTATAAGGAGAAGATAAAAAGTGGAGGTAGGCCAAGCAATTATACGCAAATGTCATAGAAAGACCATTGCACGCGACCAATGTAGCCGATGGAAGGAATTAAAGTCGGTGTGGGAATGTATGATCGTCAAGAATCGAGGGAAAAGGTACTTGGAGGTCCAAAAGGGATGATCACAGTTCATATATCGGACAGTTGTTGATACTTGAGGCAGTGCTGGAACAATGTCCCCTGTGGAAAAGGGTGATGTTGTCTTCTGTCTGCACGGCTATGGCCGGTTTCTTTGACGGGCACAGCAACAAAGACACAATAATACGAGCCAACAACACCCATGACAGTCAGGAAATCGCCTTGCGCCTCACAGTGGATTCCTCCTCGTAGGTCGTTCCATCCTCAAATAGTGGGTTGCAGCTGCGGAAAGGGCGCAAGCCCTGTTGGCAAAGCTTTCGGCTTGTCCGGCTGATGTTCGCCTTGGTTTAGGAGCGAACAAGGAAGCCAATCCGTCGGCTCATGTTAAACCCCGCCGTAGAAGGATCTCCCGATGTTCGATAGTTTCTTTTTTGCCCTTCGGGATGGGCCCGGAACTGGGGCAGAAGAAGGATTTGGGGTCCGAGACTGATGTGCTGTCATCGTAAACCATGAAGCTGTAGTTTCATCGTGGAAGCGACAATAAGCGCAGGTAGAAGCTCCTATGAGTTTAGACGCCATTTGGAGCGATTCCATGGGCCTGAGCGATATAGCATGTCCACAAGTGGAGGCTGCGCGATAATGGGGGCATTTGGTTCGTTGGTTGAAGGATTCCGAGTGAGGTTGGAAAACAACACTGCCACATCCTTTGTCGTCCGAGCTTTGGATGAGTCCAATTTAAAGGGGAGAAGTATTTTGCGTAGCACTAGGTGTTCTCCCTATTCGTAGCCTATATTGCATAGCAATTATCCATCGCGATAGCCATATGGTGACCTTAATGGAGTCAAACACAGTGAGGATGTTGCCGTTGTCAACCAAGTAACCGGCACGTGTTGTTTGTTGGTGGCCCCGGGGCTAAAGAGGATAGCGTCAAACCCGACCAGATCACGGATCTCCCAAACCCCCAAACACAGCCACACACACAATTATGAAATACTTACTACACACTGACAGCGTTTACAACTCAATGATCGTCAAATCCTTCCAGAATTGCCCGGTATAACCCCCCCAAAAGAAGTAATTAATATCGCACAAATAGGGCTGAGGGCGACACTCGGACTTTAAGCCAGAGAATATCTGAAACAGCCACCCAATCAATCGCCCGCACTGGCGAGACCAACATGATACACCGGTGGGCGCAGGCCAGCAACGAGACGAACCGCGAATTCGGATCACAGCCGGTCGCCGATAGATGAAAGAAAAGAAAATTTTAATTCGAGATCTTGAAACATTTACGCTGAAGCCCCCAAACTCATGCGGCCTCCCCGGATTCAGCCCTCCATTCAGCCTCCTGCTTACATGTTCACTGAGTTCTTCCAACCTGCCCCATGCCACCACGCGGGAATCACTTAGGGGATGGGTAGATCTATCCATTGAGATCCGGGCCGGCCCCTGTCGTCGGACATGCCCGATCGTCTGGCAGTTCTACAACAGGTGGATGGCGAGGTGATCTGGACCGGATGTGATTGAAAGCTCTAGCATGAGCACAAATTATAATGTATAAACTGCTTCGAATTGGGTATGTGAAAGCGTCATGGGTTACATTAATCGTATCCAGCCACCAACTGCTTCACAACAGGACTCCGAAGCAATCCTGGAAGCGTAAATATCTAGAAGGAAATTTCGAATAAAAAGTGGTATAAGAGAGGATATAAAAAGCAACGAATCGGATTTCTCTCCCCAAAAAGCAAAACCGCAACTAAGTATGGACCAATCCCCGACACTCTTCACCAATTCACATGCGCCCAAGATCCCCGCCTATAGCGGCAACCGGACTCACGAGTGACCCGGGGCTACTATAAACAAGAAGGGGAATCTAAGCCAGGAAGAAAGCAGCGGCGGCGGCGGCACCAGCGAAAGCGAAGCCGTTACCGTTGACGGAGCTGGCGGCACCGGTGTAGAGAGCAGAAGAGGGGGAGGGGCTGTGCGTATTGTTAGTACGATTGTTTATTTATTTATTCCAGGAGTCAGAATACTCACGTAGCACTGCCGCTAGGGTAGCCAGAGCCGTAGGCAGCGGCACCGCTAGGGATGACAGGGGAGGAAGACTTGGCGGGCTTGCCGCTGGGGTAGCCAGAGCCGTAGGCACCGGCACCGGAGCCACCACCGATGGTGCTAGTGGACATGATGACGGTGGGAACGCAGGTGGTCACGGGGATAACGGTGACCTGGGGGGCAGCAGTGGTGCCAGCGCCACCACCGACGGCAGCAGCACCGGAGGGAACAGCGGCACCGCTGGGGGCAGCACCGGAGGGAGCGCCGCCAGAGGGAACAACACCAGCACCAGCACCACCAGCAGGGGAGCTGCCAGCAGCGGGGGTGGCGGAGGGAGCCTCAGGGACAGCGCTGGTAACACCAACGGGGGAGACACCCTCAGCGCCGCTAGTGGTGGCAGCAGCGACGGCCTCGGGGGTGGAGGTGGCGTGCAGAGTACCGGGGCAGTTGGTGACGGTGGGAGCGCAGGAGACGACGGTCACGTCCTCAGTGGAGTAGACAGTCTCGACATCCTGGGGGATGGCAGCAACAAGGCTGGCGAAGAGAGCGACGGTGGCAACAGAGAAACGCATCTTGAATGTTGTGTTGGGAAAGAATAAAACCGTCAAGGTCGATGATAATTTGATTTTTATGTGTGGGTTGTTTTGTATGTAAAACACAGGGAGCTGCGTTTAGATAAAAGAGAGTGTGGCTAGTTGGGGTTTTGCTTGGGGGGTTTGGTTAAAAGAGTGGCTGACCGAAGTCAATGGGATGCTTCAAGCAGTCAAAGAAGTCTGGTCTTGAAAGAGAAAGAACAGAGAGAACCAGGAACGAGCTGGGAGGCAGAGGGGGGAACCGGGGGCCCTTTGTATGAGCCGGGAGATTAACCTGGAGATCGTCTCAGGGACGAAAAGGGGAGAGCGCAACTGCACGCGGGTGGAGTTGATGGCCCCCGAATCAATCAGAGCGCCGATGCGGTGTGAGAGCACCTTCATGGGCAAGTTTGGGGCAACCCGCGATGGCCCCTCTCACTTCTCACTTCTTTCGCTCGTTTTTTTTCGTTTTCGCGCCTCGTGGGTTCTGCGCCCGTCTCACCCACAGCTCTTGGTTGGTCCAACCAGCCCCTTCGCCAGTTTGACTAGACCAACTAGTGCCGCCAAGTGACTTTCGTCCCTGGCCCTGAATTACTGTCCATGCTGTCCAAGCTGTCCATGCGTTGCGAGACAAGTGCTGTTGATCGGTCGCTCCATTGCTCTTTTCGACCGGAAGAACAGTCGACTAACTCTTCGGCTCAGGGGGGGAGGGGGGAGTTAATGGGGTCGGTAGATACTTAGTTGGGTCATCGATGGTTCCCCTACTGGATTTTTAGGTTCGAACTTTTTTGGATTTCAAGCAATAGTAGATAGCAATTATTTACTTTGATGAACCGCGCGGGATTCCGTACCTGCATCAGTCAGGCACATCGTCCCGTCACTACAGCGTAGTACATCACCACTACTACTACTGGTACTTTACTTACTAGTACATACTTTAGTCTACCAGGCAGTAACATTCACCACTCGGTCCCAACGGTAAAAGCGGGATCAACTAAACTGACTACTTGTAACCCGTCCAAAAATTAGGATGTCATCATCATCCACCTCCCCCGATAATCAAAAGGAAATAAGTTCAGGGGGCAGAAACCTCGCTTTACTGAGCCACAGGACGTTGAATGCCAACTTAGACTTTGTTTCATGTTTCTCCCTGCTGTCCAATGAGTGTTGGGGTCAGTGGGGCCTGCAGGCTGTTCCTGATGCCGTTGGCCACTCATCGCTCTGGCCACTATCCCGCTGTGGCTCTCTCTTCCCCGCTTTTGACCCAATGGCTGGTTGGCTGCTGGACCCACTTGTGCCCCCTGTCTCTCTTTTTTCCCACCTGGAACTAATCTTGCCCTCGATACGTACCATTTTTATCTGGAGGTTTCATTAGTAGGGTCGCTTCGGATAGTGCTCATGGGTTCGATGGGCTCGTTTGTTGTTATTGCTATTGTTCAATGTTTGGGTGACAGGTGCAAGGGTCCCACAAAAAGGAAATTCCATGAGATAAGGGCGTAATAATAATAACATTAATATTAATTCGAAAATAAAAATAAATGAGAGATTAAAATAAAGAACGAGCAGAGAACTGAAGGAAAACATGTCGGGTTCAACCGTCTCTCATTGTCAGAGGGCATTCGTCAGCGGAAAGCTTTCTTTCCCGTCGTTTGCGTGGATTGCAGCCGATCTACTACTGTAAGGTACAAAGAGTTAGCGAATGGTGTTGTCACCCCACGCAGTATGACGCCTACTATTCTACCACTTCTTCGAAGGAGTATCTATCTTTATCGATTATACCGACTATACCGACTATTTTGATACCAAGCAGAATATACCCTACAAGGACAAGTCAGTACACACTCTCTTCTGCTAAATTAGGAAGTAAAATAGTTCTCGGCGCTTTTTGGCATCCCTGTCACTGCCGGTCTAGAAGCTCGTCCGACAGGTAAAATAATCCTTCCATACAGCTCCGGCCCCGTTCCTATTGGAATGGGGGCTTCATTGCTAAGACCAGGCCTGGCTCGGCGCCACGGTCGCATTCATTAATTGCTTAATCAAAGCTTAGTGCGTGGTGACTAAACTGCTCTCCGACTAGTCTGATGTCGTACATTGTAGTCTAGCCATCATATGTTAGTTACTGATTGCAAAATTGTTCCTAATCGATATTATTGCGCGCAATTTCGAGCCATATGTCCTTCTTTGTAAAAACGGAAATTTGTGTATGCGTCAACTTTTGACGTGGTCCTCACGAGTCAGATTCGTGTTCCTTGTAGTCCGTTTATGGCGCAATAGCAAGCGCTGATCTTATTGGAAGAGCCAGAGGAGGACAGGAATTGAGTGTGCGCAAGACTGCATACAGTACAGTAAGTAGTTTAAGCGCCGAGAAAGACGGCGGATGACAATCATGTAGCAATCGGGAAGTGAACTACACCGGATGGATCTTCAAAGTCGGAATTTATGAATCAATTGCCGTGGATTCGATGGCATGAATAATAGGACCAAATGCCAAGACTTGGATTATTGCCCAGTCTACCACTTGAGTGAGCTGTAAGTATAACAAACACAGAGGGTAGGGGCTAAAATCTGTGTGTGCACATCATCACTACTATCAGCAATGAAACTATTGAAACCCTCTTCTTTCTATTGAAAGCTCAGACTTTTCTCTGCCATTGCATATATTTGGTTGATACTAACGTACTCAGGAACTAAGTAGTTTACAGTAGGTCTCCAGATTCCTTCCCACGGTAGTCCGTTGAGAACGGAGATTTCTGGTTTCTTTTTTTAGGGCGCTCTCGTGACGAACTGCGAAAAGGGGGATCTGTCAGGGTTTATGCCCAGTCCTTTTGGGACAACAGTTTTCCCCAATTGGAAAATCAATAGTTTGCAGTGTCTAGCTGTAGTTAATCTGTCTCTAAATAGCACCTGAGGATATACTATCTTCCGCCTTACATTTTGGTTATGTGAACCGCTATAGTAGAGGGGACTATGACTAAAGCAGGCTGCGCACGGAGTAACATGTACTTCACTACCTTGGGACAACAATTAGGATCTTAGTCAGTAATTATGTGTAAGTAGAACTCAACTCGTTATTAAATCAATCCCGAGGGAAATACTATCGAACCACATGCCATTATCATTATTATTGCAAGTGAGCCGACGACGATGATGTGTGCAAGAATTGAGTTTTGGTTGCTCCACCGATCAACAGGGGAGAGGCGGGCTGGCAGTCGGTGAAATTCTACCCAAGGCGACGCGGACTTCCTTTACCCCAGTTTTAGGGGCTCCTTGGGATCCATAGAGTGTTGCGTACGTCCAAAAGGCTGGGATTTCCCCATCCCCTCCTCCTCTTTCCCCAAAGATATTTCTGAACTATGTGCTATGTTTGCTAATCTCTCAAGTTTGTGGGAGAAGGGGTACCTTACCACACACTCTCTCGTCCCGTGTGTTGATTTATTCAATGAAGGGCCCTACATGGACTTCAATGCGGCAAATAAGCGACAATGGCTTGGAGTTGTTGGGATTGTTGGAAGGATGGCATGAGCCGTCTTGGACGGCTAATAGCTAACGTTAACTAACTACTTCTACAGGAGTGAGGAGTACCACTGCGCTTGGTTATTTGCCCTTTCGCACTTGTGTTGTTCCTTCTTGGGTCGTCGCGTCTACGAGTTCTTCATATCGGCCTATGGTGAAGAAGAGTGTGTTTTTAAATGAACTGCATGGAGTTAACAACAGACTTGGGGCCCAATTCTGTGGTATGTGACGAGAGCGCACAGATGGTGACAGAACCCTGCATATACAAAGTAGACTACTAATTTCTACTCCGTACTTTGGGCAAATGCCGGCGTCAAAGCGACATCTGGTTGTTGGTTACACCATGGCCTTACTCTCCTCTACTCCACAGTAATCATCAACAGTAAGCATCCTTGGGGCCACACGACCACTTATCAAGCAAAACGGCTGGATGATCGGGTGGGGGAGGGCTTTTCCAAGCGAGGATCGTCATGCCGCGCGTCTACGGGAAGATTTTCCAGGTACGCACAATCAACACTTGGTCAGCAGGGCAGGACCCTGCACCAACTCCAACTTCCAAGGACTGTTGTCCTTTCTAGTGGCACTAGTTACTTGGTCGACATGGTCCGGGTGGATAACTAGATAGATGGAGAGATGGTCAACCCCTGCTACCCCCATGTGAACGTCATGGGGGTTGACCCGAGCGTTTCGCTTAGATGTCACGGCGAACCGGTAGTTAGGAACAGGGCTTGCGAGGATAATGATGATGAAGATTGAGAGGATCGGAATGTTTCTTTCTTTAGTGGCCCATTTAGATTGGGTGTCATCTTTATTATTGGCCTGTCAGTTGGGGGCGCAGTGTTGCCATTTGGCCCCGTTGCTATGGCGGTGCAAAGGCTTGGGGGAGGGGGATTGCTATTTTAAACCGGAGTGGGTCTGGATCGATTTGTGGCTGCGGAAATCGTCCAGGTTGGCGGGCATCGGGATCGAGGAAAGACGGTAGAGAGATTCGTCACAGATGGACTGGATGATGTCAGTTGTCCCTAACTAGTAGCTATCCATATAGGGGGGATAGTGGGAAAGAAGTGTCTGTGAGAGTGAGAGATTGGACAAGGCTGAGAATGGCACGTGTCAATCTGTATCGGTTGCTGACGCGTTGATGCACGGCAACTAGTAGTTGCTTGGTAGTCATGATTATGGATCTACTGTTGACAAAGAGACTGTGATAGATGGCCGTACTATGTACCAGAGTGCTACTAGTATGTCCGGTGTCAATGCGAATGTCTGATCATATTGGGCCCGTTTACTATGATCAGACAGCCTTGAGGACCATAATCCTAATCAGTAACTGTCGTGTATATTCTTAGAACTGCGTAACGTCCGCCGAGATGAATTGTGCTGAACAAGCACCGTCGGGGCATAATGAGAGTGGAGCCCCGGAGCAAGATGCCGGCGCAGATTGGATGGAGCAGCAATCAATTTCGATAGTGGCACCGAGTATCAGAGACACTCAACCGGCGGATGATGTAAAACATCCGCACGCTACTAAGTCGTTTTGGGTGATTTGTCCATCGACATCATCTGGTTGGGATGTTGGACCCTGGCACACCCAATTCTTCAATGAACAAGCAGCTTCCGTCGACATCATCAGGATAGTCTATCGGGGTCGCTGTTTGTGGAAACTTCCGAGGAAACATGGTTCATTTCAGGCGGAGTCGATCTTTAAGTTCAGAATTTTTTAGGTGGGATGCCTGACTGGCCAGGCCAGATGATTCAGGCACCCGAACAGGTTCCCATCCACCATCAACTTGATACACACAGTATAGTTTATAGCTACTATATTAGATTGACAGGTATCAGAATAGATTAGAGACAATCATAGCTCCGATACACACAGACATAAACTTAGACATGGGAAGAACTGGAGCTCTGTCGCTGTCAAGAATAGTAGCAATGGATTCCGAAAATATCTCTCATCGCAAGCACTTCTCATTTTAGGCGCCATTTGAAACAGGCCGGTTCCACCAGGCCGGCGACCCTCCAGCGCCTCCATTCGATCCCTCGCCGGTCGCGAGTGCGGAGCATGGCACTGACTGACCGGCAGAGATGGACCTGACAGGAATGGCTATAACTATTTAACCAATGCTGCGGTGACTTTCTTGACCTGACTAACTAACTAACTAGTCTAACTCATCACTAAACGACACCTGAGTTCGATCCCAGTCAGTGGGAAAGAAAGGATCTTAGTGGTCACCCTACGAGCGGTGGAGTCCAGCCGCCAACTGACAAAATCGACACAAAACTCGGCCCCAGTTTCAAAAGCAAGAATCGCTGGCCTCGCCGACCGTCAAAGTCACATCTTCTCCTCTTTCTTCCTTCCTTCCTTCCTGCTCGGCTTCTTCCTCTCCTCTCCTCTCCTCCTCCTCCTCCTTCTCCTTCCTATATATCTATCTACTCTTTTCTTCATTATTATTATCATCATCGCTGGGGATCAAACATTCGCTTAGTGCTTTGATTCATCGTTTATTTGTATTCTTTTTTTCTTTCTCCCTCTCCTCCTCTGTCTTCATTCTCTCACACTCTCTCCCCCTCTCCGATCAGCCAACCCCTCTTGTCAGCCAACCGCCGCTCTGTTCAGCCAATTAACCCCACGGCCCTCTTTGTTCCGACCACCTCGTCCAACTCCTCTTCCTCTTACTTATCACACCTTCTCCTCTTTTCTCCTCTTTCACTTAATCCCTTTCCCCAGAGTCCTCCCGTCCCTCTTTCAAAGTGTCCTACTCAAACACCGCCGATCTGGCTACCTTGGCTGACCCCAACGAGTTGTTTTTGCCTGGTGAGAGGCAAAACAATCTCGCAATGTCATCCTCGCCGGTTCCTCTCCTCAAGCCGCCCGTGCCTGGCAACCGCGGCAACAACAATGGTTCCCGACCTCCCAAACTCACCTTGGGAATCCCTCCATCTCCAAATGTTCGTCCGGTCACGGGAACCGGTGTTCCTGTCGCTGCCGCCGCCGCCGCTCCCGCGCCCGCGCCTGCTCCTCCAACAGAGGTCCCTCAGCTGCAGCGTCCAGCTGCTCGCCCGGCGCCTCCCCAGCTACGTCTGAAAACCCCCATGGGCAGCAGTCAGAATGTGCAACAAGTGAAGAGTCGACCCGCTCCACCACCGTTGGCGACGACCGGCTTGAACGAACCGAATGGACACTCGAGGTCTGGTAGCTTCACGTACCTGGACGGGAAGGCCAGTGGGCCCGCCTCCGCATCATCCTCCAACTATTCAGCCCTATCATTCGCCATGGGCCTTCGCCAGCCTCACGGCAGCACTCCGGATCCCTCGTCAGCGATTTCCGTCTACTCCGACCGGGAAAGTGGTGTACAGATGGAGCGCGATAGCAGTGTGAACAGCCTAATCCCGGATCTGGACAAGATGAGTCTGGAAAAGGGCAGGCCCCTCGATGTGGATGATTTGGATGATGAAGCCTGGCTTGCAGCTAGTGAGCAGAAGAAAATCGTGGAGTTGGGTAGCTTGGGTGAGGGCGCTGGAGGTGCCGTCACTCGATGCAAGCTCAAGGAGGGTAAGACGGTGTTTGCGTTGAAGGTAGGTTTCATTGGCGGTTTGCATCGTCTGGTGTTTTGGTATGTTAACAACTTTCTAGATTATTACGACGGACCCCAATCCCGATGTGAAAAAGCAGATTGTTCGAGAACTCAACTTCAATAAAGATTGTGCCTCGGAGCACATCTGTCGCTACTACGGTGCTTTTATGGACAAGTCAACGGGGACCATCTCCATTGCAATGGAATTCTGCGAAGGTGGCAGTTTGGACAGTATCTACAAGGAGGTCAAGAAGCTTGGTGGACGGACGGGAGAGAAAGTGCTAGGCAAGGTTGCCGAGGGTGTCTTGAACGGGTTGACCTACCTTCATAGCAGAAAGATCATTCACCGAGGTCAGTCAGGTTCTGGATTTGTAGTTGTTTATCATCCAGCTAACGTTAATTTTAGACATCAAACCGTCGAACATTCTCCTCTGCCGAAATGGTCAGGTCAAGCTTTGTGATTTTGGTGTCAGTGGAGAGTTTGGCACCAAGGGAGACGCCAATACGTTTATCGGCACATCGTACTACATGGCCCCTGAACGCATCACCGGCCAATCATACACCATCACCTCTGACGTGTGGTCACTCGGTGTGACCTTGCTTGAAGTCGCCCAACATCGCTTCCCCTTCCCTGCCGACGGCACCGAAATGCAGCCACGCGCCGGTTTGATCGATCTGTTGACCTACATTGTCCGTCAACCGATCCCCAAGCTGAAAGACGAACCGGACAACGGTATTCGATGGTCCGAGAACTTCAAATACTTCATCGAGTGCTGGTACGTGTTGAAATGCCTAATAGGAGATGGATTGTGCTAACTTTTCGTCTAGTTTGGAGAAAGAACCTCCGCGACGAGCGACTCCCTGGCGGATGCTCGAACATCCCTGGATGCTGGACATGAAAAACAAGAAGGTCAACATGGCCAATTTCGTAAGGCAAGTCTGGGACTGGAAAGACTAGATTGCCTGCATGCAGCAACTGGATCTCGGCAATCATTCATGCACCTTCCGGACGAAATGCTCCACCTCTAATACGATCGCACATAACGGTCTCTCCTTTGATGCTTACAAGTGGCTGGCCCTTGGTTGACCCGGATGTCAAAGCATACGAATTGTGATCATGACGACACTCATTTTCTTCGCGGCACTGTCTATCCTTTATTGGAATCATGGAGTTGGGAATGTTTTCTTCATTATCATCACCCGACATGATCACGCCTTCCTTTAATTTGCTTCCCCGCTGGTCCAGCATTTATCCCGTCCTGTGCATTGCGTCCGATTGTCATCTCGGTTCTTTATTTCTACCCAAAACCGTCGTCATTTCATCCAGCAACCTGAGGTTGTTTCTGTTCAAATCATCGCCAGCGGTGCTGACGCTTGTTCCTCTTTTCCGGTTGAGACGGGGAGAGATTGGTATTCTTGGTTCTCTTTTATCATCTATCTTGTCGAGTTTGTTCCATATATCATCATACATACATTATCCTCTGTGATCCTCATCCATTGATCTGGTTTATCATCATTTCCGGCTTTCATTCTCCCATTGTACGCATGCAGATACATACATACAGCCACACGGAAGACATATTCATTTATAGTCTATTAGCCTGTTCTTTCTGCTTGTGAGCGTGCGTTGTGACAAGGCAGGGTCCGCATATTGTGTATAGTGATTGGCACCGGAATAGCGATACAGGAATATCAAGACTGATTATATTAGCAAAAGCTGTCCTATAAACGTGAAGTATAGAGTCCAGTGGATTTAGTTACGAAATGAAATATTTAGGAAGTAGAAGATCTGTTACGCCACAAACCCTAGCTAAATCTGAATTATTTAATGGGCAATAAGATAAAGAAACAGATAAGTAGCACTTGCACCACCTGACTGACCGACATGCAAGTAGTTAGCCGACGAGGTCTTCTTCCCCCCCACCCCGCCAAAAACGCTCATTCTTTCCCCTTCCATTTACGAGTGTCATCTACAGACCAAAAATCTAGGTAAAGATGCGATAGAAAAAGCCGAAGCTTGCTGGTTCTAAGTCATTAGTACGCAGACGTACACTCATAGCATATACTCACTACTCGTAATCGGTATGTTCGCTAGTTGCTTGGCTTGTTGGTTGCTTTGGCTGTTCTGACTAAGGCAATGGAGCATACATAGATCAATATTTGTCTGTCTATTAAGTACCTGCCTATCTCTGGCACAGGGGATAATAGTATAGAAAGCCAGGTGCAGATACTACTACATACGATATTCTTAGCTTCAACGAAAGCAAAAAGGAAATTATAAGACTTAATTATTCTCTCATTCATTAATATGCTAGATTATGCAACCTATCACTCATTCACTAATCCACTCACCCACTCATGCAAAGCTATGGAATATGACGATATATGTATAGAGGGAAGTTAAAAGAACTAATGTTATAGCAATCCACGCTTATAAAGGACAAGATAAGATAGCTTCTAGCTTTCTGTATGGCGAAACGTTCCATCTCACTTCAAATAATCATGTCGTACTTCGTAATATGACCTTGATCTACTGGTATCTCGGGGGTAGTTGAAACTTGGTTCACCGATTGACAGGCTGAGCACCCAATACCCAACCAATGCCACTGACGAGTCCATCCGTGACCATGTTACTGACGACGTCTCTCTTGCGGACGCGGCCTTCGCCGTCCTGGTCATCGGTGGACATGGAGGAGCCACTGCGGAGATGAGAAGAGGAGGGGACGGAGTGGTCATCATGGTCGTGGGTGTTTGTCTTTGCGGACGCTGCAGCTGACCGGAGCGGGAAGGCGTTCTTTTGCAACGCTAGAGCGGCGCCGCGGGCAACCTCGAACAGCCCCATGGGAGCTTCTTCATGATGGAGACGGTTCTGTGAGGCGTGCGCCCGTGCTCGTCGGGCTTGGTGCTGTCTCGTTTCGAACGCGTCTTGTTCGCTGTCTGTGGGGCCGAAGCCTCCCGGAAGGGTGGTGGAGGTGAGGTTGTCGGCTTTGGTGTCCCAGATGTCTTCTTCCTCGGATTCGCGTGCGCGGAGAGCTGCTAGTTCCTCGTCGCAGCGGCGCCAGGCGCCCAGGATTTCGGGCAAAGGTTCGGGGCTGGGGGCGAGGACAAGGGCGAGAGAGAGGAGTTCCATGCGTTGGGAGAGGTGCGTGATTTGGGTCTGGTTGTTGGGGGTGGCGCTGGTGGCTGGGGCGCGGTAGCGACCGGCGTTGTAGACGGCTCGCCAGGTGATGTCGTCTTTGGGGGAAGTGGGGTTGGTGAGAGGGGAGGACGTAGGGAGAAGGGATGGGGGAGTGAGACGGGTGAGAATGTAGGAGTAGGCCGTGCCGAAGTCGTTCGAGGAAAGGGCGGAGGAAATAGCG